AGCATTCTGGCTTTTAATCATGCAAGGTCAGATATTGATTTTAGAGCCAGAATGCATGACATTGTAAATTTCTCATGAAAAGTGGGGATAAAGGTGTCTGGCTGATAACATCAAATGCAAAGCCACAGTATAATTTACCAGTGTGCCAGTAATAATTTACCAGTGTGAAGTTAGAGAGCTGAAGGTGAAGAAGGTCTAACAGATCCTTTTTTCTGTTACCTGTCATGTGGGACCTGTTAGGAGTACATGTACTCAGTACTAGTATCCTGGTGAAGTGTGCCCCAGGTTTTCATGCGTTTTTTTTTTTCATCTGTCAAATGCACACATTTTATGGACTCCTGTCTGGACAAAGTCAATCCCACTAAAATAAAAGTTAATCCAAACAAGCCCGACCAAGTTAATCTGCTCGCTCGACTTTGTAGAGTAGGGTGAAACAGCCTTCAAATCAAGCCTGCGGGCAGGGTCTCAGGAGTTAATAGACAATAAATATGAAGGGCAACTTACACAGAATGATTAGGTGACTGTGCAGCTGTAGATCTTGAGGGGAATATTTGTTATTACCTATGAGGTTTTTAGAGCGCAGAGGGGACATGTTACTTTCACTGGTTGCTGCTGGCCTGTTCAATTATTGCATTGGTTCTATGAGATCATGGAATATGGATGCGAAGGGAATTCAACATTCTGTTTAGAATGTGGTAACTGGTAAGTCAGGAAAGCACTAACTAGGATGATATTGGCAAAATACTCCTTCCAGATTCATGGGGTTGATGTAACTTTAATATGAAGCTCTCCCTATACAGTATCTTGCTCCAGTCTGAATAGATAACATGATGGCCCAAAGAAAATGTCATAGCAAAGGTTAAGGTGCCCCATGGGATGGTGATGACTGGAGATATGCTGCAGGTGGTCAATAAGTATTGACTGATAGTGCTCAGCTGCCCCTCCTCCCCCTCCCTCCCCTCCCATCTGTACCACAAACAGTGGAGTGGATTACACCTACCTAGTACCTCCCACCCTGGACTTGTTAACTACTGGCTGATGACATGCCCATCTGTCTCCCAGTCACCACTTTAGGAGTGACACATGGCAGGGTGTTTTCATTAGGACCAGCTGTCAATCAGTGTCACCAAGGACTGGAGGAGTGACAGATCACCTGCCTATGTTACCCCAAATAGTTCTGTGGTTCAGTTTTTCTGATTCCACAAAGCTATGGAAGCTACCATAGCTGGTTTTGAACAAGTTGACAGGAAAGCTACCTTTTTCAGGAAGAAAACTCATTGACACTGCCTTTGTGCCAAAATCAATATCAGTGGCATCAAAAGGCCACATTTATCACACAGTAGACCTCTTCTAATGGTTGGATTTGTATCTGAAACTACTTATCAATTTTCCTGTTATTGGATGAGTGACTAGCATACTGATATGTTGGGCTGCTAGGGAACTGTTGATACTGTTCAGATAAAGTACAGTAGAATGCCTTGTGGAATTTGATATCATTTTGTTGCAATTAAGGATGAAGATGAATACTGAATTACTGATTGTAAAAATACAGTAATGATTTGATACTATTACCGCATTTACCAGTATGTCAGTTTCTTGAGAACAAGAAGAGCTAGTTATGCAATTTTTCTGTTCTGACAGCCTGAATGTGAATGTTTTCCAGGTGTGTGAGCTGCACATTGCAGGATATGGCTTCTCTGTGCTGGACCGAGCCTTCCTCATCCACAAGGGCTGGAAGACAGTGACAGACTTCCATGCCAGCAAGGACGAGGAGAACAACAGGAACAGGCTCCTCTTCCGCCAGTTCAAGAACGAGCTGAAGGTCAAGTACCCTGACACGGACAGAAGATGCTACTGATGGATGCTGTAGGGACATGGTCAACTTTCCATACTAGATGAGTGTGTTGTAATGATGATCACACATCTGACATGTACTGTACTACTGTAGCATTTGCCAGACAGAAAAGTTGACAAAGGTGGTGTCTCCAAGATGAAGCATCTATTGGCCACATTTTGACAACCATGTTTGCAAACTAGGTGCAATGCTGAAGACACGCAAGTGGATTTCTTGCACATGAAATTGAAGATCCCGCATTTACTCATGGCTTCCAAGGTCATTTTAGCACTTTTCAAAGGTGGATGCCATTCTTGAAGGGGCACTACTTTTAAAAGCACCTTGATGTAGGACATCACTGCCTGTAACATGTCATCACTTGACTTGAAGTGCAGCAATTGTCCTGCATCCTCAGGGGCCAGGAATGTCAGAGAATATAGATCTATGATGTTGAATGTATGATAATAACTTGGCATTGCTAAGAAAAATTGCTCTGATGCTAAGACATGTTCCGGCCAGATGGGCATCATGACACATTTGCTACTTTGGTTTCCACCCTTACTACACACAACTATCTGCTAGTCTGACAGGAATGCTGAGCTTAGATGTGACAGTTATGCTATCACCAGAAGGTTGATGAATTGATTCAAAACAGCTTAGGCAAAAATTGCCCACTATAAACCAGACACAGCATGCCAGCTACTTCACCCATGCTGGTGTTACTTTATTGCAGAAAGATGTAAATTGTCATATAGAGATTGATTCGTTCTCTGGTACTGAGGGTTATAGCATGTGACTTGTAATGTTACAAGGCAACAGTGGTAACCCTGCAGGAAGTACAATACAATACATGTATAAGAAATGACCAAAATCCCAATCTGTCATGTACTGTGAAACCATTTTGCTGTGTGAACGTGTGTAGATATGCATCATTCCATGTAGAAATGGCTCCCTATCTCCATTCACACTACCACAAAAGTAGCAACTACAGGGACTTAGCAATGTCTCATCAAGGATTGGAAAAAAAGTATGGCTCTGGCAACTTTCCTGGACTGATTGATTTGCTTCTGCCCATCCTGTCATGAGGGATTTACCAAACTGCACTGCTATCTTTCCTGGGATTTTCCATGTCTTTTGGAATGACAGGCAGGGCCATGATAGTCTAAAGGTACATGCACATGAACTGGAACAGGTACATGTGGTGACGGTCTGTCTGAAACGAGGATAAAGAGAGCTTACCTTTATGGCTAAGCACCATGTTACCCTTGCAGGCACAGACATATATGGTCTAAGTGAATTGACCTATGTCTTCACGTACTGACTTTTATGATTTTGTATTCAAGAGAATAGAGTACTGCCATACACTAATGGGCTTAATCAAACAAGTCTGCAATCACAACTGCAGTTTTACATGTAACTTCAAACTTGTCACACTGACAGATATGCTTGTTTGCACCTTGGACATGGCAGGTCCTTTCAGGCGATACATATCTTATGCATGTTAACAAACACCATCCTTATGTAACATGAATTTCATTTAACATTAACGTTAACTCCATATTGAAGAGCAAAAAACACTCAATTTGATTGAAAGGTCTACTTTTACTTCACAAATTTGGTATTAGACCTAATACATGTATTACATTCATATGACAGAGGATAAGCAAATGATATAAGGTATCCATCATGATATACATTATGTACTTTTGTGGCTATGGTATATTTAGCCGGCTGTGATAGATGTAGAATAGTCTATTCAACACAAATGACTCCATAGCCACACAGGGGGGCAGAATGCCCTTTCATGAGCTAGTGACCCAGAAATGTGGTCAGCTCCTAGTAGCTGACCTCTTAAAGGAAAATGGACCATTATGGTGAAATCACACCATTCCAGTGCCATCCATTCTGTGGTTACCAAGTGCCAAGATAGCTCAGACATGTAAAGGCATTATCTGTCTCCCCAGGACCTTTTGTGGAGGTTGCGGTGCTACAGTTCATGCATGGAAAACATATTTGAAGGAAGGGCTGACTCCAACTTTGATTGCTAGACATTGTATTGGGCTGATTGCCATATTGAAAAAAAGTAGAAAGAGTGGTATGCTTAGCCCACAGTTGATCAAACTGAATGCAATATTTCATAAAGCATGTGACCTCCTGAAGATTGTTTGATTGTGCCATATTTCATCTTACATTTCTGTGTGCCTAGAATCGCTTAACTTGTTGCCTAAATATCAAGCTACAGACATGAAGGCACCATGTGGTGACCCTTCTGTCTCTTTTAAATGTGATTGATATGAGTGCATCCTGCATCACCTTTTGTCAGGGGATACTTCAAAGGATTTCATAAGAATATCTTCATCCCAAATGGATACAAGGCTAATTTGTAACCCTCTGCAGCTGTACAGCAGAACGTGCAATATTAATCCATTCAATCAAAGGTGATTTAGACTGCCATGATGTGATCCCCCTGGATATAAGACCTGTCTATATAATTTGTATATTCAAGAAGCCATACTGTGCAATTTTAACATGGGATGATGCTGTTGCCCTTCCATTATTCAGCAGGGCTTTGGGTCACCTTGAATTTTGCCCAAGGCTAAGGCTTTGTGAATAGTAAGCAACATTACAAATGGACTCAATGGAGTCATTCTACAGACAGAGAGAATGCAGTACTATCCTCTGTACCAACCAACATAGCCATAACTTGTGAGTAGCTCTGATGATATTTCTGCCATGATAACCAAGAGAATCCCTAGTTGCTCTTGCAAGATAGCCAGAAAGTAACACCAGATCCAGTGCTGCTGGTATTAATGAGCATTCAGATATGTCTACCTGTAGGTTGTAAATACATACTGGCTTTTATATGACCCTGGTCTCAGTGTTAGAAGACAGTCATGGCCAGTGATGGAATAAATAGAGCAAGTTTTGTACATTTCATTATGTCACTATATTCTGCCCAATGTTACCACATGCAGTATTGAAGAATTTTTGTTGCCAATACTATGTCTAACCAAGTGCACCCTTTTTACTATGCTATAAATTAACAAATTTGAATCTTAAGTTATTTTTATTTTTTGTAAGAAGACTGTCTGAAGTATAACCTATTGAAGCTGTATTGGGCTAGTGCCATTGTACTGATGTGTTCCTATTTGTATATGGTATATCTATGAATATTAATATCCTGCCTTGAAGATATAAAAGGCAACATGGAGAAATGTGAATGGCTTTTTGTAGTGTATGTTCATGAATAATATTGTCTGCAAAATGTATAAATGATAATGTGATGTAAAGCACTTAAGTCCAATTGTACTGTGCTATTGTAGACAAGTAGTAATAATACTAACGGTTATATATAATAGCATTATAGTGGAAGAGTGGAAGGCAAACCTCGTTTCATGGGTCAAGTTGAAGATCCTTCATGAGACTAAAGATACAATGTAAACAGTGCAAGACCGAGAAAGAAAATAAATGTTCGTCAGCTACATGTATGTGCTCATTTAGCAACACATTATGGTGTTGCTATTGTCAAAAGAGTGCTATCGAATTAGGCTGGTGAGGTTTGCAAATGTGGAAACAGATTTATCTGCCCATAAAGGTTGTAAATATCACTGCTGTAGTCACTATATGTGTCATGCTCCAGGCTAATTAAAGTACTTGTCATCCTGTGCGAGTTGCGAGTTGCTGCTTTCCAGAAGGCTAAGAATAAGACATCTTCCATCATTAAGGATTTGTCCCAGCCCACAAAAAGGTTCCCCAAGATCAGCTATTCCCAGTGCAACTAGTAGGTGTGATACCCTTGTGGGACAGTGAATTAGAAACAGTTGTCCCAGAAACTTGGATGGATGGAGAATAGGCTGTCTGAATATGAAGAACATGTGTACTAAATCAAATGAGTCACAAGGTAACACCTCTGCAATATAGCTGTGACTAAACAGCACATTATTCCAAGACACATCAACTAGACTTCAAGCTTCATATATGACAGTAAACAGGTTTGTTCTAAATTGATAGAACACATGAAACTAATGAAAATATGTACAAAACCAAGTTTCAAAGGAAGGAAGACATGAGATTTAGATTTGAGTGGATAGAACAGGTGGAGAAAAGATGAAAGACAAACATTTTATGAACCACAAGGATGTAATGTTATGACATGGTTGTAAACATTGCCACTTTTAGTCACTCCCATAATTGTCCATGTAGCTTTGTTCTCCCCAGCTGTGTCTGGCAGAAATATTTGAGTGTAAGAAATGCACTAAATTGTCAGCACATTTAGTGCCTTATTTGAATTCCCTCAACAAACCATGTTTTTAGTCCGAACATTCTTGCACATGGTCGTTTTCAAAACAAATTAACACCTACAGAATCCCATTGTGTGCAGCTACAGGCTACACAGGATTCTACCTTGTTTTGAATACAACTAGCCAAAAAGATTTTCCTTTCTGAACCTTCCAGCAGAACAGCATTGTTTTGTTATTAATGGTATGTAGAAAATTGTGTGCTGACTTACTGTAAGGGAGTCATTTACACTGGCATTGGAAATATCAGATATTAATGATGCTTTAGGTCACACCAATATAATTTGTTGGTTCTTGGATTCGCCTCATTTTTTTCTGATTTGCAAAAAAAAAAAAAAAGATTCTGGTTCTGAATCAACTAAAAATGCTTATATTTTGCCCCCAACAGTTGAGGAAAGTCCTTTTCCAGTTTTTCCATCTATCAATGCAGTGGTTTGATTAAAAGTTCAAAATTTATAGTTTAAATTTTAACCCAGCCTTTTTTGTTGACTTCATGGCTCGTATCGTAGCATTTGGGGCTATAATACGATGCCTAGACCTGTTTTTTTTTTCCCTGTCACTTCATATTTTTTCTGAAAAAATCCGAGAACCAACAAGTTAAATTGGTGTGGCCTTATAAATAAATGTATGCAACACAATCAACAGTTTGGCTATCATACAGTAACACAATAGCCATTCCCAAAAGAAGCAAATTGCCCCAGTTGGATGGGTGACTTGAACTTAGTACAAGGACTGCAATCACAGAACATAATGTGTCACTTCAATGCTAAAGTGTAGAAAATATTTTGCAATTTGTTACACATGAACTTGAATACATTTGCCAACAGCAACCACCTGAGTGTATTTATCAAGATTACCTAAGGTCTTACCATTAGCAACACTGCATGCATCTTGCTACTCCTACTGTCAGTGCTGGTGGATTTTCATGGAAAACAAAACAGCAGTGGAGAGCCAAAGCAGTTTCAAAGGAAATACCAATTTCTGGCCCTGTAAAAAGCCTTTTATACCAGAAGTCATTGGTCAAGGTCATATTGCAAATTGATTCCAAATTCTTAACAGGCTGCAATAAGATGTTTATTGATTCACTGCAAACATGCAATTTTCGGAGCGGTTCTGCTAACATTGTAACTCTGGGGTGTAATATGCTATCCACAAGTCTCATTGAAGTTCTTAGCATGACTCTTGACAATACCCTTCATACAAATCAGCATGCACACATGTAGAAGTAGGTATGACTACAAGGCAAAGCACATAACTCCAAAATTTGTGATGTGTAACAGTCACAGCTGTGGGCATGCCCATTGCTGGCCCGTAGGTCAGGCTATGTTATGTAATTTATGGTCACAAAAGTGGCAGCACATTGCAAGATTTTTCATGGCTACACCTTGAAATACTTTTCCCTGAGGCATAGTCAGATATATGAGAAAATGTCTGTGGCCATGAGCTGTGTGACATGTTTGGAATATCTAGTAACATTTACTGTGGCCATTACAAGTTTGCATTCCCAAGTCACTTTAAACTCAAGCTAAATCAGTGAATGGACTAAACTTGAGATGCGTGCTGCAGATGTAGTGTGTGACCAACCATGTACACCACAGCCCTTCTCTTCAGAATATACCCAAGCCTGATTCTATATAAGACCTTTCCTTGCTGTCCATTTCCATGGGATTGCGATGCAAGGATTACATGCTGAAATGGACCATCACATTTTAAGACTCAAACCAGCAATTCTTCACCACACATGACCTCAAATAATAATAGATCCTTTATTCCATTGAAGTCTCCAATAATTCATACAAAATGTTAGTGTCAAAGTCACAGAGGCAAGTTGTCTATCACTAGTGAGACGTGAACATGTTTCTATAACAGTGATAATGAGGCTTTACTGAGCATCAGCTCATACCTTTAGGAAAGAAATATGATGGGTTTAACCATGTACAGCTCAGAAGCCACACATTATGATTTTGGAGGATTTTGTCTGTGGTAATGGTGCACAAAATCACATGAATCACTATTGGAAGGCTTTCCAGTCTGACAACTATGGTAGATGATGTAGGTTACATGGCAACAGTTATTGTAGCTCTCAATTTACATGTAATAAATTGTCAGCTCAGGTATTGGACAAGGCCAAAGAAATGGAAAAGAAGGAGAAAGGTATATGATGTCCCAGCAACCTGCAATCAAGAAATTCTGATAAAGTTGTACAGTTTACGTCATACATGATTAAAGAAGATCCTAATAAATTCTGCAACTTCACTACTCATGTCATACAGCAAAACGTATCTGGACACTTGGATGGATAGCTTGAACCCCAGATCTCTGGGGAAGTACAAAAAGTATGTTACAGGAGTGTTTGCATTGATTTTTCTTCAACTGCCATTCATGTAAGTAGGAGGGATGAGCTATTCTCCTGCAACTAGCTGATAACGTTTAGCTATTCACAGTACAGTGCCAATTCATACTGATTTCACAAACAACTAAATAGGGTGGTTGCAGACATAATTACCGACAACTAAATCAACCAGGAGTCCAGTAAGGATTTGAGGACCATCTGTCCAGCCCACAGAAGCAAGGATGAATTGCCCACTATTTCATTTCTACCCATTTTTCTGCTACCAATTACCAAATTGGGTACCATTTACTGATTTACTTAATTTATTAACCTTGCAATTTAGCCTAGCTCACACAATCACCTAGTCAGTGGTGAAAACTGCAGCTTTTCTTTGAAGGATTCAAAATCCAATTTGACAAAGCCTGGTGGCTACAGTCCTAATTTCAACAGCACAACCTTTGTCTTGTACCTAAAGACAATGGATTATAGTGTATACACATAGGTACAGGATGTTTGGTGTCGAATAATTTCATTCACTCTAGATCCAGTATACAAATTAGTCACTATCATCCCCTGAGTCACTCTTCTGGCCATCTTCACTCTCACTACCACTTCCGCTGACGCTCCCAAAGATCTCCTCTTCATCCTTGTTTTCATCCTCAGCTTCGCTCTCAGACCCGCTGCCTGCATCACTCCCCTCCTTCTCACTGCCCTCCTCCATCCTGTCCTCACCCTCAGCTTCACTTCCTGACTTCTCACTCTCATCCTCCTTCTCACTGCCACTCCTCTCCTGCTCATCTCCACTCTCCAGGTCACCACCTGCAGCAAACAGGCAGCAAGCAAACAGGATTTAATATTTCAGCTTCAGGAAACATTATGCTCTTTCAACGGTGCACTAATTTAAGTACATGCTACAGGTAAGCATTAGGGAAATTTAAAAACATTAAATTTGAAAAGCACAAAACATGCACTTAGTACCAGTATGAACAATATACAGCTGCAATATGTTTTTTGTTACCTGATCAACAACTAAGAGGCACAACAAGAGAACAATGTAGGTCAGACATCTTTTGGGCAGTCTCCCTACATTGGCCTCAGGGTGATTCATTTTGATAGGCAGTGATCCTTTTACAGGGGATAAGTTTTTGGGCAGGCCTCCAGGTGCATCAATTTGTCAACTGATAATTTATACTGTGCTGTTGCACCCCCCCCCCT